GGCTGATCATCTTTTTATCCTATCCTCTAGAAGAGTTTTACTATCATTTTTGGAAAACAATAAGTAGAAATTGAAGGTGGATACACCATATCCTTAAGTTTTCTTTTTTTGTGTTGTTTTAAAGTACATTAAGCTGGGCTCGGTGGCTCAGCCTGTAATCCCGCTCCTTTGGGAGGTTAAGGTGAGTGGATTACCTGAGCCTGCGGGTTCGAGATCTGCCTGGGCCCGGAGACCACATCTCTACAATAAATCAAAAAATCAACCAGGCATGGTAGCACGCGCCTGTAATTCCGGCTACTGGGAAGGGAAGGCTGAGGCGGAAGGACCGCCGGAGCCCAGCAGGTCGAGGCTGCGGTGGCCGGGAGCGGCCACTGCACTCCAGTCTGGGCGACAGAGTGAGACTCGAACTCAAAAAAAAAAAAAAGTACATTAAATTGGTTTAATGGTCATCAAATTATGTATTTAAACAATTTTTTTCTTAATCTATTCTGCTATTCTTCTAAGAGTTAACATATTTCACTTGAATTTTAAAATTAACCTGCAAAATATTATTCGTAATATCCTTTGACATAATTATACCATACTTAAGAGCTGATATCATGGATATTAGTAATTTATGCTAGTTTTACTATGAATATTTATAGTATTAGTTCTCTATTAACAATATTTTTGCCTTTGTTGAATGTTTATATGTATTTTCTTTTTCATTAATGTCTGCATTTGCTACTTCTTTCTATTTTATTTTTTACTTTGTTTCTGAGTCTTTCTATCTCTGTTTCTAAACTTTTTCTAGTTTCTTAATCTATGTTCCTGGACTATAGATTTTCATACTTACCAAAATGTATGTTTATAGGCTATACAAACCTAAAAACAGCCTTTGTTGAATCCTTCAAGTTTGCTATGTTATGTTTTATAATTCTTTAGTTCAAAAAATTTTCCAACTTTTTTTCTATTTCTTCTTTGATCCATGAAAGTATGTTGCTGATTTTTCAAATATTTGGGAAGGGTATTCTAATAATCTGGGAATATTGCACTCTCATTTATCCTCTTTAGTACACAACATGTCATTTAAATGATTTGAGTGATAAAACTTATTTTATACTTGCTTTATTATCTAAAATAACGATTCAACGATTGTATATATGTAATCATGTTTTGTCATTTCTAGTGTACTGGAAAATTACTTGTACTCAATTTTTATTGAGTCAAGTGTCTTAGGCATACTAAATTAAGTAAATTGTATTGCTAGTGGTGAGAATTTCTATATTTTGACAAATTTTTGACACTTATTGTATTAGTCAGTAGATTCAGCTAATCTCTTCCTCTGTAATTATTAATTTGTTCATTTATTTTATTGTTTTCTGTCAGTTTTTAATTTATACATGCCAAAGATATATTATCAGATATATGAAATTTAAGCATCACTATACGTTTTTTATAAATTTGACACTTCATCATTATGAAATATACTCCTTTATTTCTAGAAATTGTTTTTTGCCTTAAGATTACATTTTTTAATATTAGTATTGCTATACCAATTTATTTTTGGCCTCTGTTTGGTATACTGTTTTTTATTTTTAAAAAATAAATTTTCTGTACTCTTATGTTCTAGCTATACCTTATACAGACAGAATATAGGGGTTTTTTTTTTTGTTTTTTTAAATTTTATTAACATTTTTAGGGCAATGTGAACCTTTATAAGAGCACATCTATTCTATGTACCTGCTGTGTAACACTTTATTTTGTTTGTATTCTACCACATTGCTACGTGCTTTCCCTTTTTTGTTCGCTTCTTCCTTTTTAACATTTTGTTTTCTTTTGGATTGATTACTGTTATTTCGCATTTGTTTTTATTTCACCTTATGTTTATTTTGAAGTTTTATATATTTCACTAAGGTGGCTACTTTATTTTTGTACTTCTAATAAGTAGTTACTTTAGATTACAATTCCTAAAGTGGTTGGTTCCCAGAGTGTATGGTAGGAATGCTTGGAGGTTTCTTGGACACTTTTAGGGGTTCTGTAGTGTCAAAACTGTTTTCATAATAAAATGCAGAAAACATTTGCCTCTTGCACTCTAATCACTTCATGAGTGTGGAGTGAAAGCTTTCCAGAAGCTAAACGAAGTGTGATACCATAAGAGAATGAATGAAGAAACGTATGGTAGATATTGTCTGCCCCATTAGACCAGATATTAATGCACACATTGCCATTTATCTTTCTAAAGTTTTTTTTTTTTTAAGTTTCCCCTATAAAACTTGTTATTTACATTCAGGTATAATGCATTTATTATTTTAAATGAATTAATATTTAAATGTAATTTTTTTTCAAATTATACTTTTATTTTCAATGTGATAAAGACATACCGCATTTAAAAAATTAAAAAAAACCTCTTTTAAGATTTTACGAATATTAAAATCCTTATTCCAAAAAAGTTTCAGAATTATTTACTCTCTTATACACTTTTGCAAAGAGATTATCACTTTTAGTGAAATAGCTACCTTAGAATTACAGAATGTATGTCTTACTACTAAAATAAAATGTTAAATGTTACTTGTATTGTCTGTCCATGTAAGAAACTTACATTACTTTAATGAAAATTACCTCCTCTTAAATTTCTGTTATTTTTGTCTTACAGTAATTAATATTAAATATGTGCAACAATTTTTGCCCTTTAAGCTTCCTTATTCTCTCTTGTCTTTCTAATATTTTATTTTACCTAAGGATCCGTTTTGCTTGTTTCTTCAGTGATGATTTTAACACTCTAATTCTACGTGTTATAAAATTCTGAATTTCAACTTCATCTTAAAATATAATTTTGCTGTGTATGGAATTTTAGGTTGGTAGTAGTTTTCATTTCATATACTGAAGATTATATTCTATAATGTTCTGACTTTCTTTGTTGGTTTTGAGAATTCACTTATCAATCCAATTATTACTCTTGTAAAGGTAATTTTTATTGTTGTTTTTTTTTGTCTTTTAGTCCCTTTTAATATGTTGCTTGTTGTCTTTGGTTTCCATAATAAAGCACCTCAGTGTGATTACATTTACCTGCTTTGTTTTATATTTGCCTTGTTTGTCTTCTGAATCTGTGAACAGACCTCTTTACCAATTTGGGAAAATTCTTAGCTGACATTTGTGATCTTAGTAAGCAGCTTGTTTACATTCACACTTGAGGGTCATGGACATTAACATTTTGCCCTAAACAACTGAGGTTGACCAAAACAGCTCACTCTCTCATGTGGCATCTCTGTATAAAAAGGCAACCATGGCAAAAGTTCACCCCACACTTGAATTCATGATTAAACTCTCTTAATTTTTATATTACTATGGATTCCTGATTGTCCTTTAATGTATTATAAAATACCTGGGCTTTAACTACATTTTTTTTCTTTTTTTCAAGGCAACTTTAGATGGTAGCGTGTTTGAATTGCCTAATATACAGCCATTAGAAGTATAAACTGATCATATCATTCTTTCATTTTAACTCAATTATTCTGACACATTAAAAATAATTATGTATTTAAGTCATTTTTTTTTTCTTTTGGGGATGGTCAGCTATTAAGCTTCACTCACTCTTTTAAAACTATAATGTCATCTGATTAAGGCTATATAAGCAATAGAAAGTAATTATAATTTGTTCCTTTTACATTATTATTAACCAGTGAAGTCTATAAATAATTCCCCTGCAGTATAAATTCCAGAGCATATATTAGTAATTGAAGATTAGAGAATACATAATATCATTTAAAAAGCAGAGGACTTGGTTCAAATTCTAATTCTAACTTGTACCAAGTTTGATTCATTTGTTAACCTAATGTATTTAAATCACAATCTCTTAATTTGTTAAATGAAGGACTTCATATCTCAGAGGATTATTGTAAGACAAACTGAGATAATGAGATGGTGAACAATCCGGTTATTTTTGAGAGCAGATATAGTTAATGGAAAGAAGATGAGATCTGTGAATGGGCAACAGTCACATTTAAAATCTTGCATTTCAAATTCTTGCACTGTTGTTAGTCAACTGTCACCCTGTTATACTGCACGACAAACCACCCCCATACTAGGAAGAATACAGCAATAAGTATTTATTTCTCTCTACAAGTGAACTGACTGGCATTAGTCACAAGGCTGGAGCTGGCGGGGCTTGGGTCCAGGGAGCAGGCTGGGTTCTGGTGTGCTCCACATTCTGTCTTGGGTATGAGTTGCTTGCCATAGTGGCAGAAGTTCAAAGTATTAAACAGAACTCTGCCCGCGTCATGTCCATTAGGAAAATGAAATATCACATGATTCATTTTCAGTAATGTAATACTTATTTATTAAAGGTGTGTATATATATATATTTTTTTTTTTGAAGGTTTGACCCTCAGCACAATCAAATTATGGAAAAAGAGGAATGGCTCATCCCACAAGGCTTTCTTTTGGAAATCGATCTACTTACGTCTAAGAGCTAGAGGCTAGAGAGTTGAATTCAGTGCCATTGGGCATATGAATACACCATCACTGATTATATTCATCTGTGATAAATGATTGGAATGAGGAAATTTGTCATCCTACCCTGTCAGGCATGGGGAAAATGTGGTGCATCACCCTAGTCATGGCTCTGACTTGCCTCCTGGACTCGCTTCAATATGACATATTGGAAACACTTTCCCATTTAATAAAATCCACTAATTGGGAAACTGTTGGGATGAGTCAGTGGATTCTATTGCAAATAGAGTTTTTCTACGGTAGGAACGAGTGGAGAGTGGGAAATGCAATTCACGGCGGATTGGATTGCATAAACAAGCACTAGACAAACGCTCAAAGAAATACACTGAAAGCTCCTGTGAGAGGGTCTCACTGGCTTATTGAAGGCAAATCTGATTTAATGTACTTTTTTGCATCAATTAATCTAATTGTACGAGCGATTACAATACCTCAACACACGCAAAACACACACGAGAGATCTAAAATGAGAAAAGTGTCTTGGCCGTTGATTGCATTTAACTTCCTTGCAGATTGTCTACATGGGCTGGTGTGAAATACGGGAGCAAGACTCCCTTCAAGATCGAGCATACACCCCAGCATTTCTAGCTCTCAGGGGCTCATGTCTTTACAAGTTTCTGGCACCTCCAGTAAGTATTTTTGTCCAAATGTGTTGGTTTTTTCCCTTCTTATCACAACCAATGGTCCCCAGCTGAACAGCACCAAGTAGCATATTATCCACATACTTTGAAAATAAGAAACTGGGGCAACCCTTTCGGGTCCCCTCCCACTGTGGGAGCTTTTCTGTCCTCTCAATAAACCCTGCTTTCTAAAAAAAAAAGAAAAAAGAAAAGAAAAGAAGAAACTGAAAAAAAAAAGAAATTAGTAAAGATGTTCTGGGATTAAGGATTGAATAACTCATGGAAAGTCTGGAAATTATTTCTTTTTTGACAGTAAATGTAAAAAATAACGGCTTAAATGATAATGCTGTTAAAAATTTCATTTAGACATGGGGAATGTTTTAAGAAACATTTTCAAGGACATGTCAGTGTATTTTGTTAACTGAATAAAATTAAAGAAATGAATTTATGAACAGTAGAATAAACCTAGAATAAGTAATTTAAGTTATTTATATATTAACCAGCATTCTCACTAATCTCATGTAAGTGGTTTTTGAAAGCTCTTTTAAAATTTATTTGGAATGTTTAATTACTAGTAGTATGCTTCACATATATTTAATTTACTGTTAGCACATAAATAATAAGCACACCTCAAAATAATAGCATTCTGACCACATTGTAGTAAGTCTATCTTAACCTTAGCCAATATTTTGTGGTGTGAAAAGTTTAAATTAAAGGTCCTATCCCTGGCAAAAATCAGAAGTGCATTCTAGTAAGCTTTGACAATCAAACTGTTTATGTTGCACATGCCACTCTAAATAAAATTAGTGGCAGTTTTTAAAATCTATTTTGTTCTATCTTCTAGTCTTTGGAATTTGTACTAAATATGCATAGATACCTATCACACCTAACCTCTTCCTTTTAGAAATATACACCTTGCAGTACAGTAGACATTCAATAAATATTTATTGAATGTAAATACCAAATTCCAGATCACTCAAACTTGCAAGTCTGATAATACATAGGGTCTAAAAATCATCAAGCCCGACTGGCCACTGTTTTAAATGCCTGTGTGTCTCTGTCTATGCAAAGTTTAAAGCACCAGGAAGACAGGAAAAAAATTAATATTTATATTTTTCACTTTATTCCTACTTTGATAATTTCTTATGACAGGAGAGACAAATACATGTTTCAAACATAAATAAGTGAAATGACTTCATTGTGGTTTTAGTATCTTCACAATGTCATAAGGTGTCTTGAAATTTCATAATATAAAATACGTCTTAAAAAAAAATAAAGCCAGTGCTGATATCTAGTATTCCTCTCTGTGTTTAGCTGATATTAAATTGAAAAAAAAAAGTGTGCAGGATGAAAATACATAGTATTTCATTGTAGATGATATATATATTACGATACATAAAGACATTGCACAAATGAATATTGTTGCATATAACATTAAGTGTTTGCTGAAAAGGGAAGAGAAATGGTGCTAAAGCGTAGAATAGCAGAAACAAAAACATTATACAAAAACCTTTATGAGAATAGCTTCACGGTTAAGAGATGAAAGAGATACCTCCATGAAAGTTTTTCTTACTATTCACCCATACTATACAAATAAAATAAAAAGAGAAATAACTTTCTAAGGCAAATAACATATTATTTTCTTATTTTTTTAAAGGTGACCACCTGGGACTGGACCCGAGCAGAGAAAACATTCTCAGTCTATGAGATTATGTGCAAAATTCTTAAGGTATGATCAATAAGTTGTCATGATTTGAATGGCATTTACTCAGCATATAGTTCTGGGCTCATAAGTAGCTCATGAAAACAAACGACTCATGAATATAAAAGAAAAGACAGGATAACAAAAAATAAAATGCAAATAAAAGAAAATATATATGAGAAAATAAAATTTAAAATGCAGAGAAATTCATGGGCACTTGCCTATCTGCTAGAGCAACTGGCAAGAGGGTTTCCAGTCCCTCAGTGGGGTAGAGAACAGGAAGAATCTTTGCAGGAGTTTGTTGAGGAAGAGGCAGACAGTTCCATTGGAAAACAGTCTGAATTTAGACAGTGGGTCAATCCCACAGGAAGGAGGGAGGGACATAAGAGCTGAAAACTATCCACCAGGGCCACATCTACCACCTGGGTGATGGGCCCGATAGCAGCCCAAGCCTCATCATCCTGAAATATTTCTACATAACAAAATTGCACATGTACCCCTGAGTCAAAATAGAAAATAAAATATAAAATAGTCTGGATTTAAACCTCAATTACTATAGTTTCTTTTAAAAAATGATTTTTCATTTTTTAAAATAAAATACAAAAGAGAAAGGTTTGAGTAGGGCCTGGAATTAGAAAATGCATAAAATATCAAGACACATGCAGAAAAGAGACTTGTTTTCAATCTAGTGATTTGACCATCTCCCCGAGTAAGCAAAAGAATATACAATTGGCATAGATTAATTCAATGTTTGTGTGATATACAGGACTGTTGAAATAGCAAGCATCAAGGATTCTGTAAAATGTCAAATGGCTTCTGCAACCATTTTTAAAGAATTGAAATTGGAGTAATTATAAAACATGAAGAGTAATCTACATTCACTTTCTACTTTAGGGTTTGCAGGTTTGGAAGCACCACAGATTCATAATTAAAACCCTGCTTAAAGCTGACCTTGTCTCTGTAACCAAGGAAAACTAATTTCCCTGTGCTTTATGTTCGTTATTTCACTTCCAGTTATAGACACAAAAGGGTAGAAAATGCTGGAACATCTAAAAAATAAAATGTGTCAAAAGTATCTGAAGGCAGAGAGCAAAACTATGATTACCTAAAAAACGTTTCATAATTTTTCTTCCTAACAGAGAACTTTAAGTTAAAGCTACAGTTCTTTATAGTGTAGGATCCTACTAAAAATATAATTATTCAATTGTGCATCATTGTGCATGTTTCAAGTTTTCTTGTGGTCCTAACAATGGAAGAACAACCTGAAATACTTGAGCTGATTTTTAGTGAAGAAAATTCTGGCAATTTCTAAAAGATGCACCAGTACCTGAGGAAAAGGAGATCATACCCAATTCTGGTTTTTTGAAATAATTACCAAAATGGCTGAGATAGCTTTTTAACTGTAAATGTTTAACTAAAGTACTAATAGACAGAAAAAATGAAATAAAGGATCCTACCTCAACAAATTAGCTTCACTTGTTCATATTCTATTTATATAGTAAAATAACTTTTCCATAATAATAATGCAACAGGCCGGGCTCAGCGGCTCAGCCTGTAATCCCACGCCTTTGGGAGGATGAGGTGAGTGGATTGCCTGAGCCCGCGGGTTCGAGACCCGCCTG